ATGGAGGATTCTGGGATTTATTTTGATTTCCTGACAACAGTTTTTGATATATAATTGTCTTTGAACAACCCGTGTCTACCATAGCTGTCGCTAATATACCATTAACTTTTAGATGAATAATAGACAATACACTGATTCCACCATTGTTCGGGAATGAGGTAGCGCTCATCCCTCGCTCCTGCACTCGTTTCCCTGCTTCTTTAAGCATTTTGCAGCCAAGTGTCCTTCATTCCCACATTTAAAACATCGAAAAATATTCTTCAGAGCAAGATTCTTTGCAAAGGGAAAATTTCTCACAATATGATTTAATCTTTTGCAGTTGTAACAAACCAACGGAACTTTTGTGGCTTGATTTCGAAAAACAGCACCAACAGCATCATCTACGCATATACGATTTAAAGCAGCTCTTACTTTAGGTAACATAACATCGATTGGATCCATAATAGATCAAAACCGTGATGATAAATCCTCGGGCAATGCAACAACAAACGCTAATCGAATAGACTCAATTTAGAGAGATAAGCCAATTGTCCCAAGTCGACCAAAAATATATCAACTTTCTCTCCAACATTTAATTTTCGTTTAACAAAAAGTTTGTATGCCAGATAAGCATCTAAAGAGAATGCTGTTAACAAGACACGCTAAACTTCTTCTTCGTCTTGCCATTTTCAGCGTTTAAACCATCATATACTAAATAAGCAGTTTCTCTTGGAAGAATTGGAAAGAGTAACTTCATTTTACATTGATATTCGAATCCATGCTCGATTAGCTTGTAATTTTCTTAGTCGAAATAAAACATCTTTTACATCCAAATAACTTATTTTTCTTAACCTGAATTCAACCCATCTTACAAAAGCTTTACATCCATTTATATCAAATATCTACCCACAAAATCAACATTACAAAAACTGCTTAATACATAACTACAATTAAAATAATTAAAAACTATTAGTAAAAGAAACCACTTAATTGCCGTAGAATGTTCTGCATTTTATTTTTATTTTATTATAGAAATTTTTATATCTACTTCTTAGTAGGGTGTAGTGAAAAAACTTTTTTTTCGAAATTTAAAATTTAAATGTTATTTTCAGATGTCCATAGACATATTAAGGTTTACTATGCAATTTTTTTTTTCACAACTTTAAAATAAATTACCAAAATGAAGTTTTAAATATTTTATAATGATCAAATTAATTAGTTACTATTTTTTTGGTCGAAAACAGAATTAACGGAAACATCGTATAAAAAACAAAAAACAGACTTATATAAATTAAATTAATACACATATTTTTTAACTACTAAATAAATTTTATTTTATCAATAAATTTTATTTTGTTTGAATAAAATATATTATTATAAAAATTATATTAAATATTTTTATAGCAAAACAAAAAAAACCTTTAACTTTAACTTTTAATGGTCTGTAAAATTATTTTTTATTTATTTTATATAATTTGCAATGTTTACATTTTAAAATTATATTTGCGTTTTCTTGATTTTGTTGTGCAAAGTTTAAAGAGTTATATAGTTATTTAAAGAAGAGTTTTAAATAAGTTCAGAGAAAAAATTAATAACTTTTAGGATAATTACTGAAATTTTGTAATTTTTCAATGTATTTTTGTTTATGTTTATGATTTAAAGAATCAAAAATAATCTAAAGTTGACTTTTTTGTTTTTAAATTGAATTTCTATACTTTTTATTAATTATATTTTATACCAAAATATTCACTTGAAAAATTTTGCAAACCAAGAATTTGTTTAATGATAAGTATAAATATATTAGCCAAATATACTTTCCTGCACATACCCTATACATTTTTTCAATAACTTATATATAGTATAACTAACTTAAATATAATATAACTAATTAGTTATATTATATTTAAGTTCTTTTAAAAAATTTGTAAGATCTATAACATAAAGATATATATATATATATATATAATAAATATATAATTATTATAGATTAATAAATACTATGAATAGTATAAAAAGGACGCGTAGTAATTCTTGCCCAGGCAGCAAAAAAGTTAAAGAATTCATTGGTCTTGGTGCTGATTTGTTACCCTCTGAATTACCAACCCTCAGAAATGTTTTACAACTAATGTTGTTAGAAATGGAGTCCTTAGACACTAACCTTCAGTATGTTTCAAAAGAGATTGTTCACGAAGCTGCCAAAAAATCATCTTGTAAAGTTAGCAAAGTCTAATATTTTAATAAAATTGTTGTATAATATATATTTATTTTCTACTGTTTCATTATTATATTTTGCTATTTTAAATAATATTTTTTATTTCTTATTTAGATTGTTGCACAGTATAAAAAAGTAAATATCAATATTCAAATTCAACCTGATCACTATATAGTTCAGAGAATTGAAAAAGAGTGGAAAAGAGTTACTCAAACTGTTTGAGGAAGAGTGAAAAGTTCTCAAAAGAATAAGTTATATAATGAAATTGATGTATTGTTTGATATTCTTCGTTGCAAGCACATTATTATATGCAAGGAAGATCCAACTTGTTCTGACCCTAAATGTTCTCATTCTGCTATTTCTCCAACCTGTAATTGTCCATCCAATTTAAAAATTCCTAAAATAGAGCTGAAGTTTATCAAAGCTCAGAGATTGAAAATCGGAATGAAAAGTGTTTACCAAATACATTGTATAGATAAAAAAGAACACACTCGACTAGCGAAGCAATGCAAAAGAAAAGAAAAACCTTTAATCTTCAAAAAATTAGAGGAGAAGAAAGTAGAGTTAAATAATTACAAGTTTTTTAATGAAGAAATAGAGGTAGATGTCATTGAGAAAGCGAACGTATCTTCTAACCAGTTTGTTGACACTGAAATTGATGACGGGATAAAGGAATCTGTCATCAATACAAATCACTTTCCTCTTCTTGCTCAAACAGTTTTAAGATACGGAACAAGTTACAGAGAAGCTGCTGCTATTTCTTCTGCAGTTCTTGTAGATCTTGGCATTGTTAATAAAACAAATGATAAATTGATTATTGACCACCATAAAATTCACAGGGAAACAAAAAAAGTAATGGAAAAAGTCCAGAAAGAAGATTTACAGTTGTATCAGTCAGAAGAAATAAAAGCATTATTTTTTGACAGTAGAAAGAATTTAACTCTTATTAATAATCAAGATAAAACAACATTAAAATATTATTCTAAAACAATAAAAATGGACTTCTACACTGTCACTAGTGAACCAGGTGGAAAATATGTATTCCATTTCTCTCCTCTTAAGCCTGGTGTGGGCGAAAAACCTGCATTAATGATAGCTAAACCTATAGCAGATTGGTGTAGAAAATTTGATATTAACTTACAGTATATTGGAGCTGACTCTACAGCTACTAACACTGGAAGATTAGGTGGGGCTATAAGAAGAATAGAGGATCTTTTGAATAAAAAATTAACATGGATTATATGTATGCTGCATACTAATGAGCTTCCGCTTAGGCATCTTATTGAGGAACTAGATGGTAAAACAACTTCCAGTAATGGGTTCAGCGGAGTTGTGGGTAAATTATTAAATTGTGCTACACTACTTCCAGTAGCACAGGCATTTCCAACAATAACCATTGGTAAAAGACCAGTTGAATTAAGTAAAGATGTGATTGATGATCTTTCAACTGATCAGCTCTATGGTTATAAAATGGTTTTAGCTATACGTTCAGGTAACATGCCTATAGATCTTATAAAGATGGAGTGTGGTCCTGTTAATCACAGCAGATGGTTGACAACTGCAAATAGACTGATGCGAATTTGGGTATCAGTTCATGGTCTGTCTGGGCAAAACTTTAACAATTTAAGTTGTTTAGTTGAATATGTTGTTGGTGTTTACTATCCAATGTGGTTTGATATAAAAGTGAGGTGGTCTTTTATTGAGGGTCCAAGACATGTGCTAGAAACCTTGAGATTAGTAAAAATGCAAAGCCAAGTTACTAGGAATATTGTTGAAAAATATATTATATTAGGAGCCTGGTTTTCTCACAGTGAAGCTGTTCTAACCACTTTGCTTTGTAGCTCTATAGTGGAAGAACGGATTTTTGCAGTAGATCGTATTCTGCAGATTAGAAGAGGTTTTGACAAAGGAGAAACATCTGTCCGAGAAAGGACTCATTCTTCTTTTTTAAACATAGATGCTAAGAATCTTACTGAGTTATGTTCTTGGACTCATAATGTATTTGAGCCGATTCAAACATGTAGTTTTTCTACTGAGACAATAGTTAATTTTAAGGTGAATCCCATGGTTGTTGATTCCATACCATGCCACACACAGAGTATTGAGCGGGCTGTTAAACAAACAACAAGAGCTTGTGCTGCTGTCTATGGACACGATTCAAGAGATGGTTTTATTTGAGCAGGCTGCCATCACCGTAAACTTGTACCTAAAAATAATACCAAAAAGAACCTAAAACAGATGATTATATAATTTAATATGAGTGTATATATTCTTTACTTATTGGATCTTCACAAATTTATATTTTTTTATTTATACTAAATGGGGTCCATAACCAATAAAGGGCTCATTTTGCAGGTCTACTCTTTGTATAGTTTTTTTCTATTTTTGGAATGGGTTATGCCAAAAATTTTGATATATTATACCCACCCTATATGTGGCAAATAAGGATCTAGACTTAAACTTAAAACTCAATTCCCCCCTTCCCCCCCGACCGCCCTTCCTCATTTAAAAAGTTTCTGATAAACTTTTTTTTTTTTTTTAACTATTGTTTTGTAATAGATAAAAATTTAATAGCAGTTTTTAAATTTTGACAAAAATATGATGTGTTTAAAAGTTATGACTATTTATTGTTAATAACTCCCCCATTTACCCCATTTTGGTAATTTATTTTGAAGTTATGAAAAAAATTTTTTAACATATATCTTAAAATGTCTATGGACATCTGAAAATAATATTTAAATTTTCAATTTTGAAAAAAAAGTTTTTTCACTACACCCTACTTCTTAGCCTCTTTATATGTACTTCTTACCTTCTATTTCTTTCATGTGACCTTTCCAAATATTGAAAAAAGATCTAAAGTTTCCAAGAAACCGTCTAAAATGCAACCATCTCTAAAAAGAAAGATCTTTCAAAAAACTTGATAAAAAATCCAAGAAAAAAAATTTAATAGTTTTAAGATAATAGTTTTAACTTATTTTTTAATTCTTTTTTTTATTCTTTATTTTTTAACTGGTTAAAACTTATTTTAAAAATATTAAGTTGTCAGAACTGTTTACAAATATGAACCATCGAACTATGATCATATAATCCATCAAACTATGATCATATGAACCATGATCAACATTTCATCGTGATAACACAATTTAATATTAAAATTTAAATTTGATATTATGAATGAGGAAATCAATGGATCATTTTTTTTAATCTTAAAATAGTTTTGATTTTAATAATTTTCATTTTAAATTCAAAAACCTATTTACAGATTTTAAAATGCAGCTAAATAACTAAATAGCTACAACTAGCACTAGACTAAGAAGTAGGTAAGAAGTAGGCAAGTAGGTATGAAGTAGCTATAAAAAGACTGGTTATTAAATAAAAAACACCAACAAAATGGAAACAATATTAAAAAAGATAATATGAAGTGAAAAACCAAATTTAAGAATTATCATAAGTAATTAAACTTCCGAAATAAAAAGGTAAAGTAAATAAGGGTAGAATGCAAGAAGCAAATTTTAGTGAAGTTCGACTTGAACTTTGAAGTTTGATTTTGTCAAGTTAGACTTCAAAAAAAAGCTTGAGCAAATAAGTAAACGAAACTTGAAAATTTCAAGATTGCGTTTGAAAAAGTCAAACTTGAAAAATTTCAAAAGCATCAATTTAAAGGTGGAATTGGAAAAAAAAACTTTGCAACCAGTAGCGGCAGAGTATTTAAAAAGGGAAAATCTTTTATATAAAGCAAATTAACTATATATTTTTAACAATATTTCTGAGTTTTATATATTAAAACATTAATTTACAAAAAAAAAAAGAAAAGATGTTACAAAAATAACAATTTTAACTTTTGTTATTTATTTTTATTAAAACTTGGTAATTTAATAAAAAAAACTGGATTTAAATGAACGTGCTCATGTTACCTTCTATTTAGTCCAAGGCTCTAACTACAATGTAACATTCAATTCTATATAACATTTTTACCACATATTCACAAAATTATAATGGCGATTGGTTTTTATTTGTTTCAAGTTTGCTTTCAAGGCTGGTTTTACCAAACTTCAAAAAACAACTTGAAATCTGATTTTTCAAGTATTACTTCAAATTTCAGGTTTGCTTCTTGCATTCCACCCTAAATTCCTACATAAGTATAAACTCAGATTGAGAATGTAAAAAAAATAAATTCGAAAAAATCTTTGAATTTACATGAATTTTCCAGATTCGGGAGAAAAATACTTTTATTTTCAATTTATATTTTTGCGTAAATTAAACAGTTATATTTATCAAACTAAACTCTAGACCACACTGCTTCTTGCAAAAACTGTACCCATATCTGAGATAAATATTCACAGAAAATTTTATTTATAAAGTATACCACCATTGCCAATGATATCATTAATTCAGCTTTATTTTTAATAAACAATTATTTAAAACCAACAAAACTTTAACATACTATTGCATTATTTAACTTGAAATGTTGCCATCGACTAAGATGTGTTGTTTGTTGAATTGATTGCAACCTAGTTCTAAAGTAAAAAAACATGTAATTTATAATTTACAATAGAACATTATGCAGGTTATTCTATTATTTTTGTAATTCAAGAAATTATCTAATCAAACTATTTTATCAAATGACTTAGTTATCCAATTATTTAGCATCAGTTTTTTATAAAACTTGTTAGGACAAAGGTTAATCAAAACATATAAAAGTTTAAATAAGCCACATTATTTTTATATTTAATGTCTCCAACAAAACAACTTTTTCAAAAGATAAATGTATGGATAAAAATGAATATAATAGATAAAGAGACCCTCAAACAATAAGATGAATCAGTCAATGATATATTAATACAGCTTTTTTTGATTTAAATTCAAATTAATTATAAGCAATATACAGTCCCTGATCAAATTATTAGGCTACTTTATAAACTTTTTAGAACTGTAATTATTTAATAATAAAGTGGAATTTAAATCAGTTTGCAATGTCTTAATTTACTAATTTATGTTTTTTGGTTTATAACTAAACACTTTTAAACTATTAGCAATAATAGTTTAAAAGTGATTATTTCTGTTTATTTCGTGATATTTGTGCTTTATCATTTGTGCTGTTTTACTATGTTTTCTTTAAGTGCAGTAGGGTGTTCTAGGCAGTAAAATCTAAAATAATAATTTTGTATAAAATGATGGTTATATTTGAAGTTTTTATATAATTTTGCTTCTTTTGAGATCCAACATAGTACATCTTTAAAGAAATATTTTTTTGATAATTTTAGGGACCAGACTGATGTTTGAGGAACTTGAGCTACCCCTAAATATATATATTTTTTAATTTTTAATTCTAGTATTGTTTTATTATATAGAACACATTGAAAGGGTGAGAGCATTTATTACATCCAGCAATAACCAGCAAGTTGAATGAGGTGGGACTAAATGTAGCAATAATCAAAGTTTAACTGTTGGGCCTCAGAAGCAGAAGGCTAGAACAAAAACCGAAATTAACCAAACCTCAGAGAAAAAAGAGCCTGGATTGGGCAAAAAAGTAAAATAGTTTCACTGTTGACAACTGGAAATTGACAAAGTTGTTACAACACACAAAAATAAAAAAATTTTTCTCATATTTCGATGTTTGTATTTAGTGTTTGTATTTAGAGAGTTTTTATTCTGTTTTCACCAGGTATGCTTCACCAATGAGTCTACCATAGAAGTTATTACTTAAAGGGCTCAATATGTAAAAAGGCTTTAAATAATCAAGACAATTAAACATCCTCCTCAAGTCATGTTTTGTTGGGTTATTAATGGAAAAGGCCTTGCTCAACTGTACATTGTGGACGGAATATTAAAAAAGGACAGATACAAAAAAGTGATTCTTTTAGCTCAATTGAAGTACAAATCCCCTCTTTTAGCTCAATTGAAGTACAAATAAGCAAAGAAAATATTTATGCAAGATTTATGCAAAATGGAACAAGACATGTCACGCTGCAAAATCCATTAAAAAATAATTGGTGTCTCTAAAAATTTCACTTTTGGATTGGCCAGGGAACTCTTCAGATCTAAATCCCATAGAAAATGTATGGGAACTATTACTAAGAAAGAAATTCTAGAAAAGGTCACAAATAGAACCCAATTGATTGAAAAAGTTATTAGATAATGGAAGCATAATGCACATTTGAAATAAATGGATTTAAATTGTATTTATAGCATGCCAAATAGTCTTAATGCAGGGAGGATCAACAGAATATTAAAAATAAAGGAGGATCAACAAAATATTAAAAACAACGGAGAATCAATAATATATTAAAGGGATCCCTAAGTGCTATAAAGATATGATCTCATATGAAAGAGCATTAAAAAAAAAAATGTTTGATGTATATTATTTTTTCTAAAACCTAATAATGAACACAAACTTTCAAATTTAATTTTCAAAAAAACGCTTTTCTTCGATTAAAAAAAATGCATCTTGTCCAAAGTTTATTGACACTATTGCCTCAAAAAACTAACGTTAGTACGTCAAATTAAACAAAGTAGACAAAATGTCATTATTGCAAACTTATTAGTTGGTAATTAAATTTAAAAGTAAAGTCGTTTTTTTTCAACTAACACATAATAACTTACAAGAATAAGTTTTGTAGCATTTTGTGAAAATATATTTGTATATTAAATTTTTTTTTATAATATTAATTTATATATTTGTGTTATAAGGGCAACTCCACGGCTAAAAATGAATAGAAGTCAAATTTTAAACTCTTTTTAGTCAATTAAAAACAAATGAATATTGACTTAGATATATGAAAGTTTATTCAAAATATTTCCTTAGTAAAAAAATAAATTTATATCAGTAATTTTTATGGTTTCAAAAGTGACGGTTACTCTCATTTTTGCTTGATAAAAAAAATAATGATTGTAAAATGTTTTAGCTAAATTAACATTTATGTTAAATTGCTATATTTTTTTGGTTCAAATTGATAAGGTTGAATAGACATTTTATTAGAAATTAAATTTTAAAGACAGGGCTCGAATTAATGCAAAAAATCTAATCGCAAAAAAAAAAAAAAAAATTTGCCCCCCCTCCCCCCTTCTATCTTATAGCTCGCGCCGATGTGTGGTAATGGGGGGAAAAAATTATTGTCAATAAATCAAAAAACATCGTCAAAAACTTAATAAAAAATTAGATATCACGTTTTTTATAATTTATTGTTTTTTGAATAAAGGACTAATAAAAGTTAATATAATTAAGTTTTTTATTTAAATAGTTGATGTTTTTATTTAATTTTTCTATTTCAAGTTTTCCAATAAAAGATAAAACAAAAAAATTTGGTTTAATAAATCGAATTATACTTCATGTTTAAAATAAGGCTTAAAAACGTTAAAGTAAAAAAATTGCTGGTTTTTATTAGCATTTTTATACTGTTTAAAAAAATAAAAAATAGTAAAAAGTAAGGGAGGACTAACAAAATATTAAATATGTTAATGTCAACAAATTATTTAAAATAAAGGAGGATCAACAAAATTATCTTAAATCCATTTTTGCTGTTCTAAGAAAAAGGCATTTAAAGCTTTTAATTTATCACTGTGTTTGATCGTCTTAATTAAATCAAATTGTTTTTAATATAATTCTTGACTATGTTATTATTTTTTATAATAAAACAAATAAAAAAGAAAAATTTAAGTTTATGAGAAGCAACGATGCAAATGGACTTAGGATAATCTTAAAACTATATAAAACATGACAAAGATCTACAAATTAAATTGCTGCTGCAAAACAAGACCATCTTAAGTCCGTGTTGGCTGTTCTGAGAAAAAGACATTTAAAGTTTTAAATTTAATCACTGCTTTTGATTTTTTTGATTAAATTTACTTGTTTTTAGTTATTTATATGTATTATAAGTATTTTAAATCAAAAAAGTTTTTTTTGCTAAATAATGGACTTAGGATAGTTTTGTTTTGCAGCAACAATGTCTCTTAATTATTATTTTTTGAACATAAGATATTTGAATTTTACTCATAGTATCAAAAATTGAATTAAATTTTGGTTCCATACTTTGTGAGATTTTTGTGCACCTAAGGATTTTAAACCAAAAAAGTCAATTTTGCCAAAAATGGACTTGAGATAGTTTGCTTTGCAGCAACTTTTATTGTTATTTTGTGTTTCTTATGTAAAAAAATAGATATACTTTATTTATATATAAAGTTTTTATCTCTATTTAAAAAAATTTTTTTTAATGTTTTACCTCTATGAAAAAATTTCAACATAGGCTAATAACTTGATTAGGGACTGTATACTTATAATTTATTGTTTTTTAACTACTTATACATTGCTTATTGAGATTCTTCACAACGTCTTCGCAAATGGCGGTCGCGTTTTTTTAACTGTTAAAAAAGCTAAAGTAAAGATAAAGAATAAAGTTCAAGTCAAATCAAAAGATAAATATTGTTTTTAAAAAAGTCACCAATAAATCATAATCAAGCTCTTATGAAATAATTTAAAACAAACAGTTAAATCAAGAGAAAAAATTTACAAAACTATAAATAGAATTTCGAATTAAAAAAAAAAAAGAACTTTTACGTAAAACATTAAAATAACAAAAAAAAAAAAAAAAAAAGAAAGAAAGAAAGAAAAAAGTTAATAAATAAAAAGAAACAAAAAAAGGAAAAATAAAGAAATTTACAAACGAAGAATAAGAAGATTGGTTGTTTTATACTTGTTTTTTAACGATTTAATTTGTAATATTTAAGTTTGTAACAATTTAATTTTATTTTATTTTGTAGAAGTATTTGTGTTTGCCTTTTCGTTTTGTATTTTTTAGGTTTCATCTTGTGGTTTTTGTATTTTGCTTTTTTGTTTGTATAAGGTTTGTTTTTTATTTGTTCTGTTTTGCTAAATATTTTTATTTTTGTTTGCTGTTGTTATTGAGTGTTTTCATTTTTTTTGTCTTATTATTTAACTTATTTTAGATTTATCGTTGTTATTATTATTTTATTTATTTTCCTAGCAATTTTCTGTTCATATTTGTTATTTTATTATTATTTTATTATTATACTACTTGTTATAATTAATTGGTGTCACTTATTTTGATCATGGGTGACACTCATGTCATCATATTATTTGTATTATTATAGATAATATTATTATTTTTAATTATTATTGTTATAATTATTTGGTGTCACTTCTTTGATCAGGCTTTTGTTTGAGTGACACCCTTTTCTAACAATTATTTATATTTATTCTTATTAGTTATATTTTATTATAAATATATTGTTTGTATTATTATAGATAATATTATTATTATTGTTGTTATTATATGATTATATGTAAATTTTGAAAAGGAAAATAAATATCTTGTTGTTGTTGTTGTTGTTGTTATTAACTAACTATATTAATTTTATATTTTTAAAAATATATTAATTTTATATTTTTATAATTTAACAAAAAAGTAAAGGTTATAGTTACTCTTTATATCTTGACATTAGATATATTAGATTTAGAATTTTTAAATATTGACATTATTGAAGGTTTTCAAACTTTTTG